AATACGGACGAAAAGAAATAACTCTTGATAGGTTATTATTCGAGATTCATCAACAATAAGTTAAAACACTGTATCGTCAAAAAATATATATATAAAACACCAAAAAAATGAAAAATATTTTTGATTTGTTAAGAAGTATGATCATCACCTCACTAACGAAGAATAGTTTTGCCTTTACACATTCAAGTATATGCTTATGTCAGGCATATGACGTCAGAGCTCCAGTGATAACTGTTTTAAACTTGTAATCATGGTTTGATTGGCCGATCAGAGAGGTGAAGGTGTATGCTAGTGTTGCCAAAACGATACAGGAAGTAGTACATATGGCCAAACCTTGGCGAAGGGTGATCGTGTTATTAGTCCAAACTAGAGGGCGTAGACGCGCTTAGCGCGTTCATAAATTTACATAATAATAATTATATCGGAAGAAAAAGATGAAATTTCAATAAAATAAAATAAAATTGAACGTCCTTTGATTGCTAATTTCACTTTCTAAAACAAAACAAACAAAGTACTCTTAGCAAATTCAATAAAGGCAAACAATATTTTTTGTTAAATTTAGTGTACGTATAAGTAGTATATCAACTTTGAACAAAAAGGAAACAAAAAATAGTCATACAAAATGAACAAGGGATTCAATTACTTTCTTCATCACAACTAAAAGGAAAGGCAACAAAACCAACGAAAAAATAAAAAGCTATCAAAGATGAAAACTGCAATAATATATCGTTGTAAAGGATTTTTGTGATATTTTATCATACTTTTTAAAAAAGGGTGAAAACTAAATTTCAGAAGAAAAAGAGGATGATGAACAAAAACTAATTATTATTTACCTTCAAGGATTTTAGATGAAGACATTACGATGTACAGAGAATAAACGCACTTAAAGTGAAAGAAAAAAGAGAGAATGACAAAACTCTCATGATTAAAAATTATATATATCCACAAAATTTATTTAAGATATAAAACTTTGCATATTATTTTTCAGTTATAGATTCCTCAAAAGTCTCATTTATTTAATCATTAATTTCAAAAAAGAAAAGGCAATCAAGAATTTAGAATATTAAGTGTTGTTGAAACTTATAATAGTTATGTGACTTATAATAATTATGTGTCTTTTGACTACTTTTTTTTTCTCTACAAAAAACTCAAATTTCACACACACACAAAAAAAAATACCAGAATAATGCAAAAAAAAAAGATAAATAAAAACTTAAGTTAATGCATAAGAAAGGACTACCAAACTACAAAAACATATTCTGCAATTATATATAATGTTGAAGAAACAACATCAACCGTGACTACAGAGCATTTCATTTCCAAGAAGTAAAAACAGAAAACTTATCCATTCTATTTTATACACTACCAGTCTATAAGCCAAAATAAATACAGAGGCCAACGAATTCATTTCTCCCAAAACAAAGATGGTTGATGTAAACTCAACTCTTTAGGGTTGTGTTTCTTTGATATTTTAATTTAATTATGATTATTGTTGGTGACCGAAAAAGGAAAAGAAAAAAGTGGAATCTAATTACTTCACAAATACACAAATATTAACCATTGCTATTAAAAAAAATAAATATTCTAATTTTGTTTTATACTACATACCTCAGTGTCCGAAATTATTGTTCTCGACTAATCCGGATTCAACCTGAGTAGGTACTTTTTAGGAGATAAAATTCTCCCAACAAAAAGTTTAATTAATATTGTATGTCCATGCCCAGAGTCATGGTTAAACTGACCTAATATTATTAATACTTGGATTAAGTACTTATTGGTTTAGGACAGTACGATAATGTAAACTATTATTGTAAGATGGAGAAAATAGTAACTATTATTAAGTTACTATTATTAAGTTACTATTTTGTAATAACTAATAAGTCCTATCGCTTATGTGAGAGATGATGATGAGTGATGATAATGGAGGGGAAAGAAAATGGAAAGCAGCAGCACATCCTTTTTGAAAGGCACAGCCTTTTTCACAAGGAAGAAGAGAGGGAGGACTGAGGAGAGGAGAGTGAGTTCTGACAAGCCAATAATAACACATAAATATGGCCACTTCCTAATGGTTAAGTCACAGTCCTACTACTCTCTCTCTCTCTCTGCTGCTGCTTCTGAATGCTGCAATTCTGCTGCTGCTGTGTAATTCAATGGCCAGAGATCATTGACTGGATCCCCCTACCTTTGACCAGTCTTTGCTCTTTTGGTTGAAGCTTTTTGGCTTTTGCATCCATCCACCCACACATATGTTTTTGCTCAGAACTTCTCTGTTTGGTGGGTCCTTCGGCTAAAAAACTTAAAAAGAATTGATGTGGACAATTTTTTTTTTGGACATAAGTAGTTGTTTTGGATTTGACAAATCCGAGAGTCTAATAAATTAGACTTTCTGATTTCGAAAAATCGAATCAATATAAAATAATAAATTATTATTTTTTTGTAATTTTTTTTATAAAAAAAGAACCAAAGTCAAAATGTGTACAGTAAACTCGAATTTCCGAAATTCGAGAGCTTCCCCAACATAATTTTTATAAAAAAAAAAAACTGAAGGGCGGGAAAATATAAAATTTTATTTATAGTGGGAAAGTTTAAAAATTTAATAAATGAACGGTGAAATCAGATTTCGGAAATCTGAACTACCTGTTTTTTTAAAAAAAAATCTTTTAGTGCAAAAAAAACTTTAAAAATTCGAGTTTTGATAAGAATTCGCATTAAATTGACATATCCACTTTAAAAAAAATAAAAAAATATTGTATTAGATATGATATTAATAAAATCTTTTATTACTAATAATTACTAGGAATTTATATTAAATTAATAAAAAATATATATATTACTGATGTTACGTAGTATTATTAAATTTTGTAGGAATTTGATTAAATTAATTCAATATAATTGATGAAAAATATATATTACTAGTATTACATAGTGTTTTGTATTATCTATACGTACTAGTATTATGTAGTACATTAATGTTATTACCCACTATACATCATTGTACTTGTGTTATTTATTACTATTAAATCTGTTAGTCATTAGATATTATCATTAATCAGTATAATTCATATGTACTAGTGTTATGTACTTTTTATACGTATTGGTATTATGTAGTACATTAATAACTATTACCCACTATACATTATTGGTACTAGTGTAACTTATTACTGTTAAATCTGTTTAGTCATTAGATGTTATCATTAATTTAGTATAATTCATATGTACTAGTGTTATGTACTTATTATACGTACTAGTATTACATAGTACATTAATACTATTACCCAATATACATCAGTGGTACTAGTGTTACTTATTACTGTTAAATCTGTTAGTCATTAGATATTATTATTAATTTAATATAATTCATATGTACTAGTGTTACATACTTTTTATACGTACTAGTATTATGTAGTACATTAATACTATTACCCACTATAATCACTGATACTAACGTTACTTATTACTATTACATTTGTTAGTTATTAGATATTATTATTAATTCAGTATAATTCATGTGTATTAATGTTATATACTATTTATACGTACTTGTATTATGTAGTACATTAATACTATTACCCACTATATATCATTGTTACTAGTTTTACTTATTACTGTGAAATCTGTTGATCATTAGATATTATTATTAATTCAGTATAATTTATCTGTACTAGTGTTATGTACTTTTTAAACAAATAATCGAATTTTCAGAATTCGAGTTAAGCAAAAAATTAGATTTTCAAAATCAGGCCATAGGGTTTAGGGTTTAGTTTCGGGTTTCCCGAATCCGAGTTTGAGAATTCGAGATTAGCTTAAACTCGGATTTCTAAAATCCGACTTTTAGGGTTTAGGGTTTAGGGTTTAGTTACGGATTTTCTAAATCCGATTTTAGTTTAAACTCGGATTTTCAAAATCCGAATTTAACTAAAATTGGGTTTTCAATATTCGATTTAGTTCAAAACGTTGGATTTTAGAGTTTAGGGTTTAGTTTAAAGGGTCTTGTGTGAGTATGGGCACTATCCGGGTGAACGCAAATCTGAAAGTTATCATTTTTTAAACAACTCGGATTTTTCAAATCCGAGAGTAAGTACAAAAGGACTTGGATTACCTAAATCCGAGTCTATTCCCTTTATTTTTAATAATTAGATTTTTTTTTCTAAAATTTAAAATATTTTTTTATTATAAACTTTCGGATTTCCGAAATCCGAATTTCCATGTTTTGGATTAGGTTAATCCGTTTCTAGTTAACTTCTATTTTCGAACACTTAGATTATTTTTTCAAAAAAATAAATATTTTTTTATTGCTGATTCTCGGATTTGCAAAATCCGACACTTGATTAGTTTAAATAAATTCTTTGATTTAATTTAAGTAATTTTAGGTTACTAAAGTCTCGGATTTCACTAATCCGAGTTTCGGTTGTTTCGGATTTGCGAAAGCCGACTGTGCGGTACTCTCGGATTTGCCAAATCCGAGAGAACTAGTATTGTCCACCTAATTTAGATCCATATTATTTTTGTCCAGGGTCTTTTTTAAATAATTTTTTGGGTAAAAAACTCTCTGTTTGGTTCGTTTTTCATTCATTTTTTCAGAATTTTTAATTAATATCTATTTCATCCCAGCATACTTTTTTACATTCCCAATATACCTTTTTACATTTCCAATATACCTTTTTATATTTCCAATACAAAAAAACACACTCAAAAAACCATCCAAACATAGCCTCAGTCTCTCAGGCATCTAATGATCCTTTTTTTTCATACACTGTTTCTTTGTTCTTGTTTCTCAACTCTTTTTTCCCCATTTTATCCATCCATCCACCCTACAAAATTGTGTTTTTATTAGTGTTCAATTCGCTTATTTTGTGCATTACATTTCTTACATGTATCGAAACTTTTTCCCTTCCAGAAGAATAGTTTGTTGATTTAGAACAGTAATAGAGCCGCGACCTTTTCTTGGGGGCGGATAGGGCACGTAAAAGTGATGAAATCAAGAACATTTATACAAGATACTTAGATATAATATTTCCCTTCAAGAATGAGTTTTACATGGTTGTCCAATAATGAATAAAAATAACATGTACAAATTAACCATGCAATTTGGGACCATCTCTCAGATACTGATCCTGATCTCCTCTCCATTAATAATTAATTCACTGCTGCTCTCTCTACATTTATAATTATTTTTAACATGTGACGATAAGATTATGTAAAATACTATTATATAAGAATCAACAAATGCCTGGTTTCAGTGATTGGATTATTTAGGAGTTGGTTGGTTATTGGGGGAGGCAAAAGAAAGAATGGAATTGGCAAGTTTGTTAACAGCATCAACCAGTCCATTAATGCCTTGTCTAGCTATCTCAGCCTTTAATTCCTCAATCTGTAACCTCCTCTCATGCAGCCTCATCAGCTCTCTGTGCCTTCTTTCTTTCCTCTTCACCTGATTGAATGGCTTCTGCTATCGGTGAAGCACTTCTTGAGATTGCACCCTCAACAGTCTCACCTTGTTGTGATGAATTGTTGTTTCCCCTACCACCACCAGCAGCAGTGCTGGTTCCCTCATCTCCTCCTCTTCTCCTCCGCTTTGCTGGTGAATCAGCTGAGTGCTCACTTGTATCAGAATCTGAGCTATCACATTGTTAATACCAGAAGAAGAAGAATTTCACTCAAACAACTACATCAATAAGAATGACATTCACCAAATTGGTTGATCTTAGGTTCCTATTTCATGTCCTTCAAACACTGAAATTAAAAGGGCATATAACATATGTACTCCATCAATCGTTAAGCTAGTCAGAAGGTAGTTCTTTGATGAATTTTGATTTCAATCTTATATATTCACAGACGACTGAAAATTAAAACATATCAATGCCATACCAAAAACATGAGTTGTATACATACATCATACATATAAAGGATATGATAATGCAGAAATCAATAACATAGAAAAGGAAAAACTGATTGAACCAAATGTTTCCAATTGTGGTAACAGAGGAAGAAAGGAATAGGGGTGAAGGAGAGTGTACCTACTGTGGGCAACTGATGAGAAAAGGGAATAGTAGAATGTTCTTGTTGTTGTTGCAGCACTGGTACTGTCTGAGCCACTGGTGGAGGAAGTGGCAAAACTGTAACAGGAACTGGAGTTGAAATGTTGGGACAATGTTGTTGGATTGGTGGAAGCAGTAGTGAAGGATCAGCTGATAAAGAAGAAGAAGACACAACAACTTTGGGATTAGAAGATGAAGAAGCACCACCAAGATATGATCTTTGGCCCTTTCTATCCACAACCTCAACCAATGCTTCATAAATTTGAGGCAACATATTGGAAGGCAAGTTGTTTGCTTTCCTCTCATTCTTCTCAAGCCTCCAATATGATTTCTCATCCTTTCTCTCTGCTGATGAACCATCTTTCTGCTGCTCTGCTGCTGCTGCCAATCTCTTCTCATACTCCCTGACCTTCTTGAAATCCCTCATCAGATTATCCCATTTGTCATTGCACTGATTCTGGCTTCTCAAACAATCATTCCTCCAGCAATAATCCTCCACCCATTTCCATCTCAGCTCTGTTGGTTTCCCTGATCTCTCAGCACTATTTTCCCCACCAGCTTGCCTCCTCAACCTTCTCTCATCATCCATCCTCTTAGCCTCAATAAGCACCATTGTCTCCTGTAATGTCCAGTTCCCTTTCCTATAATCCCTCATCACCACATTACCACCGCCTTGATTAGCCATCATCACCACATTCATGTGAAAAACCCACCAAGCATTGATGAGGAAAAGGGATGAAAGAACAGAAAAGATAAGGGCGCTTATATCTTTCTCTCACACAGACACACACTTTTTCCTCTCTTCTTTGATCTTGATGAGATGTTCAAAAGTTCTTCAAATAAGGACAGAGCTAAGACTCAGAATGCTATATAGACAAAAGGGTCGAATTGGGATGACTCCAAAACATGTTTCATTTTGGTATGCAATGATTAGTATTAACAATGTGACACAAAGCAGCTCTTCTTTTATTACAAATTTTGCATTGTTTTAAACTTTTTTAATCAAACTTTATGCTAGCTCTCTACTACTAATTGTTTACCCTTGAACCAAGATTGCAACAGATCTTATTAAAGCTGATTAAGACAGCCTACAAAGCACAACAAAATCTTTCAAATATCTTGGAAGTATAAAACTATGAAGAGAGGGAAATCTGGGAAGAACTACCAATGCAAATTATGCAATCCACTGGTGTGAGTAATGAGTGATGACTAGTTTTCCCCCTACTTTGGAATCAATGAATGCTGTATTGAAAGTGAGAGTAAGAAGAAAGTGAAGAGTGGAGTGTGTGACTGTGTGTAGCTGTAATAGAAAGCAAAAAAACCCCATTATAAGGAGAAAAGGCCAAAAGAATCCATTCAAACTGACATATCCACAACCCCCAAAAAATTTGTGAGAGAGAGAAAGAAAAAGAAAGAAAGAAAGAAATAGGGGTTAATACTTAATATTTGATGCTTGGTCTGTGTCTGCATGGGAGAAAAGAAAATGGACTGAGAATTCTTGAGTGCCTATCAAAATACACGTGGCTACGCCTGCAGCAATCATCATAACCACCATTCTTTAAAAAAATTTCTTTTACTTTTTTTTTTTAAAAAAACTTTTGGCCAGTATGATAGTAATAGCTAGCTATATATATATTCTGAAAAAAAGATGTGGAATTAATTATGGAAAGCTTTTTGGGAAGAAATGAAATAGTATTGGAAGCATTTATGACTCTTTGGTACTTGTTCTTGAATAATGTTAAGCTAAAAAGGAAAAAGTTATTAAATTTTAGTAAGGTCTTCCAGGAACCATGCACAAATCGTCATTGGGTGTCAAATTATGCATCCCACAACCATGCACGCCCTCCAAATTATACAACCCTTTAAAAAGAAAGAATTTTAATCGAGAATTGCAAAGTAACAATGGCAAAAATGTTGGAAACAAAACGTATTGGTTTTGATTTGGTATGTATTCCCTCCGTCTTAAAATTATTATACAGTTTGGATTTTCATTCTTAATATAAATTGAACTAAAAGCGAAAATTCAAATTGGACAATAATTTTGAAACAGAAGAAGTAATATTTTTTACAATTGTGAAAATGATGTTATTTCTCATATGTTATGCGTATAATGTAATGAGTATTTTTTATCATGCAAAGAAAAAAATAATCACAATAGTTGTTTAACTAGTCATCAACTAAAATTCATATTTTATTATTTCACTTTTTGTTTTTGAATCGAAATTTTCATAATTGAACGCTACAAACATTATCGGCAATCAGCTCACGTTTAAAATGATAATGATAATTATCCATTAAATTGAGTAATCCTTTCGACAAATTCATGTTTTACACTCTTGATTCATATTTACTTGTAAACTGAAATTACTATGAACCAAAGGCAAATCAACCGTGGCTACGTACCTATTCTAGGTTGGAATGAATAAAGGAATATCCCAATCAAATCAAAAAAACAGGAACGTACTTTTATCCCAACATCATATCTCAAACTGTTTGGGAGGTATAGCCATTCTGGTGTAATCCTTTTCTGTAATTATGATTTTTTTTTTTTGGGATGAAAGTTTGAGTTTCATTCCATTGAGTAATGATTATAGGTACAATCGCAGTAATTCTCCTAATTATGACATTAATTAATTTATTTTTTTTATTTTATTAAACTTATTAAGTATGTAAAAATAATTAAAAATGTGAAAATTAAATAATGATTTAAAAAAATGTTGAAACCTTCGTGCCACGTCAACAGCCTTTTCCGGCTTATTTTCCCCTGCCAACTAGGACGAAAAGGGACCCCACGAAGTGCAGAGCTAGTTTGACTGACTACTAAATTTGACCAGCCGAGGACGGTTTACTGGGTCCACCCGATAACCATCTGAATCATCACTGTCGTTCTTAGTGTTTGGACTCTAGCTTGTCCCATTTTGAGAGACAAACATCAGGGTATTTTTGGTATTTTTTTTTATTCTTTTTCTCTTTCATTAATTTATCCCTTCCCGCCTCAATTTGTATTTTGTAATAGTGTGGTGAGAAAAACAAGTAGTACTATTTTTTTTTTTTTTTGTGAAGATGTGATTCGCAATCCACGAAGATAATTCTGTGATATGTTTAGTGAAAAATAAATAGTGAATTGAGATATTGACTTTGTTTAACAGTTGTGCAGAATACATAATTCCTCTGTTTTACGTTGATAACAATTATTAAAAAGGATATCTTGGTATTTTAATCTTTTTATGTTTCATTATTCCATTCTATTTTACTATCTAATTTAATTTGTTGACTATGATTCCAGGGGAAAAAAAAAAGAAAAACATTATCACCCTTTCGAAATTGAACATTGTACTTTTTAAATATTAAATTTTTTTGGCCAAAAAATTGACGCAGCACAGCGTGGGTGTAATCTCAACACATATCAAAGGTAAAAAACCACGAGTAGACAGCAGGAAAATCTCAGAAAGATAGCTACTGCCAGTAGTATTACAACGGAAAACTAAAAAGTAACAAATTAAGGAGGCGTTTGTTTTGTCACCAGGAAACGGATTAGGAAACAAATTCGAATAACGGCGGATTGGATTCGAAGATTCAAATCCAATAGCACCGTTTGGTTTAAACTCTGGATTGGATTGTACTTTTAAAAATTAGAAAAAAACCATTTCCCCTTCTATTGTTGCTCCTTCTCCTCCTACTCATGGATTCAGATCGGACGACGGTGGTGGCAGGGGTTTTCTGTTTGTGGGTTACTGATTCATCTGCTTCCTACTAGGGTTGAATCGATTGATGAAGAAGACCCAGTATTTAAAAACCTTTTTAACAATGACGAATGGTAATTCTGAAATCCATAAGTCAGAATTTGTCTTATTGAATCTTATGAGAATACGATTACCCATCGAAGGATGGCCGATCGAGTCTCGTATTAGAGTAAGATAAGGGGAAGGTCACAATTGGATTAGGGAAGAGAGATATTGAGTTGCTTCTAAATTGAGATCTAACTCAAGTTTGATGCTTTTCTGATTCTACTTGACGATCCCTCGGTGTGATTCTCGTTCAATTTTTATGAAGTCGTGAGTTTCATTAGAATTTTGTGAATGATTTGGAATTTTTTTTGGGTTGTTCTCTGCAAGTTTACTGGGAAGAGGTGTGAGGAGGGAGGAAGGAAGGAGGACAAAGGAGAGAGAACCGAGGAGAGAGGTGAGAGAAATAAAACATTTAAAAAAAAATAGAAAAGGATTCAGAAAATGATTAAGTCGAATCATGGGGGAGGGGTAGAATTGGATCTATCGGATTCGACCATTCCCGGGATTCACAAATCCAATCAACCAAAAATTTTAATAAATTCCGAATCCGAATCCTGAATCCGATTCCCGTGAAACAAACGGCTCCTAAAAATCACTCTCACTCACCTTTGGCGTCACAAAATTACCTTAGGTACGAACTGGATTAGCTTTTCCCGTATTCTCTTTTGGTGCATGATATTAACGTGCGCTTGCCATGGCAGGTAGAAAAGAAAAAAGAAAAAGCTATGCAAATCAGCAGAAACAGAATCAACAATCGGAAGATGAATTAAACAAATTGGAGCGAGAAATCCCTAAAGTAACTCGGGGAAACGGGAATCGAGCAAGAAAGTTGGATCTAAGCAAGAGGAGGAATTAAAAAAACTAGTTGATTTCATCGAGGGTTCCTCTTCGAAGATCGAATCCACCCCCACCAAAGTTAATAGTAGTGATAAAGCGGAGAACAACATCAGATTTAGCGATGGGTGCCAGAGTGGTCGTCAATTAGATGATCTGAAACCTAGGGTTTCTGAGAAAACAACAAAGCGTCAACTCTTATGGTCTGAGCAGATAGCAGCAGATGAGACTCGAAAGCCATGGGAGAAATTTGACCTAGAGAAGTTGAAGGGGCCGTCCGGGAAGATGCACTTTGTGGCTCCAAGGATCCAAGAAGGTTAGAAAATAGTGAAAATTAAGCTTCAAGATGTTCAATCAGAAGAGGACTACTGGGCTTCCTCTGTGGTCTGTTTTGTCTTGGGAGCTAACCCACCAATTTGGGTTATGGAGGCTTTTCTAAAAAAGAAATGGGGTCATCTCGGCATAGACGAGGTAATTCGCTTACCCAGTGGATTGATTGTAGTCAGATTTTCCTCGTTGAATGCTAAGGAAGAAGTTCTAAAAATTAATATTCATCATTTTGGTTCTAAGCCATTAATAGTTAAGCCATGGTCTGTAGAAAATGGTCTAAATTACAGAGAAGTAGAGAAAGTACCTGTCTGGATTCAGCTCCATGGTTTGGAGTTGAAGTATTGGAACCTAAATTCTCTATGCAGTATAGCTAGTACTCTAGGCGAACCCCTTCTAGGTCATGAATTTACAATTAGTAAGACTAGAGTCCAGTAAGCCAGGCTATTGGTTGAAGTGGAAATCACTGATTCCTTGATTGATAAGGTTTTATTTGAAGATGAGAAAGGTACTGCCAGAGTCCAGAAGGTTGTTTATGAATGGCTATCTACCAAATGTCGTTGTTGCTCTGGTAATGGTCATTTGACAGAGACCTGTAGGAGGAAAGAAATCACCCCACCTAGTTAGATTAAAATCCCGCAAACTGAATGGAGGATGAAAACAAAAGGGAAAGTAGGTATAAATAGCCAAGGAAAGCCCCTAGAGGTCAAAGATACTAAGGAGACCTCTGCTGTATCCAACAACGAGGTTTTACTCAATGATCCTCAAAGGGAGTTTCAGGTAAAGACTATTCCGAATAATACGAGGCGAGTTGATCTCAACATCACGAATTCCCAGGATGCAGTCACTGTGCATTCCTTCTCAAAGAAAGCCAGCAAAACTGCAGTATGTTCTGATGCTGGTGAGATTCAAATTGTTTGAACTAGGTACGAAAATAACATTTTGCTTGACCCCGACCTAGTTTCAATGAGTAGCATCATATCCTGGAACATTAGGGGTCTCAACTCACCCCTAAAGCAGAAAGAGTTGTAGAGATTGGTGAAAGAAGGCAAATATAATATCGTTAACCTAGTTGAAACCAAGTTGACTAAGGAAACAGGAGAATCGTATTTGAAACACAATTGGATGGGATGGCACTCGAATATCAGCTACAATAATCAGGGAAGAGGTAGAATTATGTTATGTTGGGATGATAGTGTTGAAATTGTTCAAATCCATCAGTTGGATCAATTCATTCATTGTCATTGTACTTTGAAGAAGGAAAGAGAAAGCTTTTATCTTACTAGTATCTATGCTGCAAACGAAGCTGAACTGAGATCCATACTATAGTCTGACCTAATGTTGATATCAAAAAAATATACAAGGCCCCTGGTTGCTGATAGGGGACTTCAACAACTTACTAAAACATGAGGAGAAGCTAGGTGGAAGACAGGTGGAATTGAAAGATTTTGAGGAATTTCAAGACTGTGTTGAAGAATGTGGAATTCGGGATTTGAGACAAGTTGGTAAGCT